TTTACCTAATCTTAAACAAAGAAAATAAAAGAAAGATAAGGAGCATGCTCTACAAATTAAAAATCTGTCTCCTTTATATAATGCCCTTTACCTACTGTCTTTCCATGCATTTGAATTAAAAATTTTAAAAATAAAATATAAAAAAATATAAACTTTGGGTGGCAATGTCATTTTCTTTATATTCTAATACTAAATTCGCTCTCTATACAAATATCTGCGAAGTAAGATTTCATAGGTAAGATTTCTTACAAGGTGAAGTCACAATCACTTTTAAAGACTTGGCAAATGGGTGGGTTAGACGGGTACGAGTTGGGTAAAACAGATACGGGTCTATGGGTAGAAATTTTCACAAGTAGAAAAATGTATGACTAGTCCAGGCCTGCTACTTTTTAAAATTTTCCCTCTCCGAATTTTTATTTTTAAGTTTTTTCTCTCATTTATTTCTTTATTCCATAATCTAGATATTTCTCTTTCATCTTCGTCTTCTTTTTTCCTCTCTCTCCAAATCTTTTGTCTTTTTCTCTGTCCCACTTCTTCTTCTCCCTCTCTCCAATTTTTCTTCGTTTTTTTCTCCCTCTCCACTTTTGCATATTTTTTCTTCTTTAGTTCGTCTTCTTCTTCTCCCTCTCTCCGATTCTTCTTCCTCTTTTTCTCTCTTTCCACTTTTTTTATATTTCTTCTTCTTCGTCTTTCTCTCTCTCTCCACTTTTTCATATTTTTTCTTCTTCTTTAGTATTCACTTTTCCAGTTCTTCTTTGTCTGATTGAGAGAAGAGATTAAGAGAAATGTAACGTTAGGGCATCTTCAACCCACGCCAAAATGGCGTGGTACTGTAGCGCAAATAAATTTTTTTTTTTTTTTTTAAATTTTGCTTTTTTTTGTTTTTTGTTTTTAATTTGAGTGTTAAATTTTACACACAAAATTACATCAAATTTAATTATTTATATTTAATTTTATTTTATTATTATTTATAAAAATGATATAATTTAAAAAATGATAAAAAATTTAAAATAGAATTTTATTCAATACAAATATTAAATTACAATAACTTAAAATAAAAATTAACACTAATTTAAAAATATTAAAATTAAAAAAAAATATAACATAAACTAAAATAACAATTTAGTATTCTGATAGATTAATTCTGGATCCAATAAAATCATCAAAATATTAAAAAGAATTAGAGTTATTTTAAGATCCTTGACCTTATTGTTAAGCTCTTTTTGGCATAATTTTTTATTGCTCATTTTGAAAAAACTCACGTAAACTTGGATCGGCTATAGAATTCAAATCCTTGAATAAAATGCTTAATTTTATTAAATTAGTATAATTTTTAAAATAATTATTATTTAATAAAAATATCATTCTTAATATTTAATTAATATATACAAAAATAATAAGTGAAATATATTAATGATTGATTATTATAATAAAATAAAAAAAAGAATATTGTTTTTGGTATAATATTTGATGTTGTGGGTTAGAGATAGAATAGTATTTTATACCAAAATTTACACTAATTTCGTATAATTTTGCACTAAATTGGAGTAATGGGTCGGAGATGGTCTTAGTCTCTGAATGAGAGAGATTGGGAAAATGATTTTAGAGTTTTAATTTTTTTAATAATTTTTTTAAATAAAATACGGATGTCCGCAAGCATTTCCTGGTCCACCTGCGTTTCTTACGAACGGGTTGGATACGGGTAAAATGGAAAATTTTACCCATACCCACCCTTCTAATACGGTTGACCCGCAGGTATGGAGGGCTTGAGTTTTAATTGACTTACATGGGATTTTTCAAAATAATATATGGTTGGTATTAGTGGGTTTACCATTTATGTCTTTGCTTGTCATCTACGGCGACGTTTCTATTGTATGAACCATCAAATCATTCAAATGGGATACGTTACTTCTCTAACATTTTCCCATGAAGATGACAATTTTTTATTGGTCATAATATATATATGATAAATTCCTGAAATTTTTGATAGATTAAGAAGAGTATTTGTTTTATTATTCTAGATAGTATTTTTGAAAAAGTTAAATTAGATTATTATTACGAGGTAAGATTGGAATTTGAAAATATATTTAGTAAGATTATTTTTTAATCCCTTATATTTGTTAATTTAGTTGAACACCCCTTACTATAAAAATTTTAAAATTAACAAAAACACTTCCACCCATCCATTAAATGCCGACAACCGATGGCAGACTACTGGAAATTAGGGGTGTTCGGTTCTGGGTATCTTACACTTTTTGAAGAAATCAAAACCGACGGTTCCTTGAAATTTAGAACTAGAACCAGAACTGATGGTTCCGATTCCGATTCCTAGGTACCCAGAACCAGAACCTATAACAACGGTTCTGGTTCCGGGCACCCTGTAAAATTTATGACCCCCCAAAAGTTTTTAAAATGACAAAAAAACCCTTAAAAATTTATAAATACCCCCCACCTGGCACTTGTTAACAAAAATAAAATTACAAATTACAAATTACAAATTCAAAATTACAAACTCCATTACTTTGTAAAGGTAGATTCTCAAAAGTCAAACCAATTTACTTTAATGTAGCGTTTGGTTTAGAGAATGTTATATTATTGAGGAATGTTGTATTACTAGAAAGATAGATTACTAGGGAATCTTTAGAGAAATGTGTTTGGTCGGTTAAAATAAATTGATGGGTATGTTATAACAATATGTTTGGTTGGGAGGATAAATGAGTGGGTATATTATGTAGATTACTAAATTGCCCTCAATTTAATATAATAATATAATATTATTTTTATTATTATTTTATTCTATTATTTTTTAAATTATTTCTTTTAACCCCCCTATATTTGAAATTTTACTAAAACACCCCAACCATATACAACTTTAATTTGTAGCAAAGTCACCCCCACTCACCCCAAACCATCGCTAGCAGCCACCACCACCACCGAAAGCCACTGTAATGGCGCACGACCAGCCGTATATGGCTGGTCGTACGCCGATCAGGCCTAATCTGGCCATATCTGGCCGTGAATATGGTCGTTTCACGGCTAGATCTGGCCGTTAATATGGCCATTTCACGGCCAAAGATGTGGCCGTGAAATGGCCATAGATCTAGCTGTGAAAAGGCTAGATCTTTGGCAATGAAACGATCGCCATTTCACGGCCAAAGATCTGGCTTTTTCACGGCCAGATCTGGTCGTTTCCAGCCATGGATCACAAATCCATGGTCGAAAATGTCCTTATAGGCACACGACCGGCAAGTCTTATGCCGATATGACGACTTTCACCGGTGGCCAGCGGTGGTGGCTAGCGGCCGGCAGTGGTCTTGGATGATTGGGGGTATTTTGTTAACTTTTCAACTTTTTTGTGACGGGGGTATTTTAGCTAAGTTCTCAAATGTAGGGGGTCTGGGCTAATTGTTATTTGGTAGACATATGAGGGCAAATGTGTCCAGAATGATAAAATATTAAGGGCAAAATACGGTAAAAATTATTATTACCCCGGTAATCTAACATTAACACCCCCTAGGAAGATAATCTGATTACCCCCAATATTACCAATAGTAACCACTATTTGCAATAAAATATTTCTGTAATATTATATTAATTGACAACCAAACGAGGGAATCTTGAAAATTAAACAAAGATTACAGGATTTATCTTATTTTACCCCGAACCAAACGCACCCTAAATGTTATGAAATATAAATATAAATATATTCACATTACTTTTTCTACAAAAGTTTTTATTAGCCCCCCTAATATTTAATTTTGTTTTATATTAATCTCAGTTCCTGGTTCCGATTCCAATTCCTAACTATAGGAACCGGAATCGGAACCGTACAGTAACAGTTCCAAAAATTTAAAACCGAAACCTACCCATTGACGATTGGTTCTGGGTAGGAACCAAAACCAAACCCAGGGTACCAGCCGATTCCGGTTCCAATCGGTTCTTTTGAACACCCCTACTGGAAATATGTGGGTGGGTAAAAGTGTTTTTATCAATTTATAAACTTTTATTGTTGGGGATGTTTAATTAAATTAACAAACCTAAGAGGTTTAAGGATAGTTGAATAAAATAAAATTGAATTTTCAGAATAAGGAAACTGTTATGCCTAAAAAGTCACGCTGATGTCAGTTCAACAAATGTCTTTTTGTACTAGCTGTCAAACCCATATCTCCTCAAAGATATTCATACCAACCCTAACTCATTTCAAGAGATGAATGGACAAGAGCCTTATATGTGTCAAAGCAACTTACAAAACACTCATTACATATCTCCTCAAAGGTATATAAATTGACACTTCTCTTCCCGAAAGAGGAGGCTGGACATATGAGAGCTAAGTATAGATTTGAGCTCAATTCTTTCTCTCTGTAAACACTGTATTTTTTCATCTTTGTATGTCTTATGGGCAAAATCATAGAAATAGTCAGAGATCAATACAATAACAATGGATGTATGATTTGCTTTAAACATCCGAACCACTATAAAAACCTCTTTTGTCAGTCTATCATTTATGTTTTCTACAACATATATAATCTCAACTTCATATTCAAATCTCATAGATCCATCACGTGTAATTTGTAAGGCTCTCTTAGCACTTTCCACGTGCGAATCGTTGGCGCCCAAAATCACACGTCAACAGAAACAAATATGTATTTTGGATAGAATATGATATAAATAATGCCTCAAACACAGCCTATCCTCCTATTTGAATGGATATTGCCATGAACTTACGATCTATTATGAAACACCATTAAGTTTTGAGTCTCAAATTTCTTTACAGGTTCGAATCCGAGTCCGGGTTCGATCCAAGTCCAGGTTCGAATATATGCAAACCCAATTCTGGGAGAGGATTATACAGTGGATGGTCCTCCACGTAGAATTGCGAATTCGCAGAGATGTTAGAAAATCATCATGAGAGTATTCATAAGAAAAAAAATAAGCATACTTCCCATGAATGTAACTTTATTTTACAAATGCAACCAAAACGAAAAACAAAATAATAAGACTGCGGGAAAATGAGAATCCAACTAAAACTAATATAAGTCATCAAATTTGTAGGCAGTTTTTTTCATGTCAATGTCAAAATTGCCGGTACGTCTTCTAATTCTAGACCTCATTGCTGTGTCCAATCTATAACCGGAGTCTCCGCCAAATTAATTATTTCTAAGACAAAGAATCAACACCGAAAGTTATCAGCCAGCGGAAAAAAACTCACCTGTTGGGCTAACAATGGCAGGAATATCACTAAATATTTGGGTCAGCGAATATTTATGATCGCTCACTTTACCACAAGCCGATGGCTTTCCACCAGACACCACCAACGCCGAGCCAAATGATGATGTTGACAACAGAAATGAGGAAGCCATAGCCCCACCATTGGGCAAGGGGGACGTAGTTGGCACCATAGAAAATAGGTGCGGATCCAATGCCATAGTGGGTAAGGCCACCCATGATGTTGGAGAGGAAGGAGAGGACTAAGGCTCCTAAGTACGGAGGACAGCCGAGAGCAGTAGCGACGGACAAAAAAGCAGTGAACATGGCACCGATGTGAGCAGCTCCACTGGCAAAGAAGTAGTGAGAGTAGAAATAGAGAAGAACCAGAATGCCGAAAGATGCCTGCCATGAAAGACCCAATCCACCAACGAACTGCAAAACGAGTTCATATTTGTTAGTAAATATTTGAAGCTCAACCCAACCAAAACTAGTTGGGGTCGGCATAACTAGCGTTCTAATATTAATCAACATCAGCTGTTCTCCTTTTTCTTTCAGCCAAATCCATTTTTCCGGCGTACTCCACAAAAGGGGCATCTTCTTTCAAGTTTTTAATAATCATGGGAAAGGAAAGCTCCTCTATAATCAAGTTTTTAATAATCATGGGAAAGGAAAGCTCCTCTATAATCAAGTTTTTAATAATCATGGGAAAGGAAAGCTCCTCTATATCTAGCATTTCTCTAACGAAAGCAGAGATTACAGGGTGGGGATCATTCAAATGCAACCAAGAGCCATTAGCCCCATTAGGATTTAAGTTGACTACGGCTAGCTTCATGACATACATCTTACAGACTGTAAATGAAGCTTTTGACTACGAAATGACTGAATTTTATTATTCCATCTTTGAGGCCTAGCGATGACCAGCAATTGCTGACACCGGATTTGAAAGAAAGCCCTAAACTGCAGTGTGACTATGTGATGCTTATGTCAAGGATATACAGCAAAATTATACAAAATGCAATGGAATCCTCATTCCAGTCACAATCAGAATAATAGAGTGAAAAGCTGAAGATAAAAATCTTTCATGAAAAACCGCCACGACAACAGAAATGCACAAGTAATTGCTGACGTTACCAAAAAACAAAATAAAAATCAAGCAATTGGAGCCATAATTGAGAAAAGGTGTGCATTTGTAAGATTCTGAGCAAAAGGAAACTAAGACAAACCTTAACCACGGTCTGGCTGAACCAGGAGATGAGACCATATTTGTTGAGATACCCAGCCATAGCGATAAGTGCAGCAAACCATGTGAGTGTATCCCAAGCAACTGCTTCAGCTAAGCATTCCTTCCATGTCACAACGCCAGTGATAAGGAGGATAGACAATCCAAGAATTGCAGCAGTAACAGCATCCATGTTCAGTACCCCACCGAAAATCCAGAGCCCCACCTGATATAACAAAGAACAAAACATGAAAAAGAAAATTAATTACCAAACGAGGAACATCAGCATACTTCCACACACACAAGTCCCACAGAACAGGCACAACTGGATATACATCCCTGATAACAAATTGACTATCAAATTCCAACTGTCTCTACGTAACAACACACAAGGAACAAAATACTTGACACATATTTTGATAAATGAACCATTCTTAAAAGCAATCAGTCAAGTTTACTAGACTGCATTGTCACTACAACTTCTAAATTCAGCATATTAACCTCAATCATCAACAGAACACATAGATTATTTCGCCCACAAAATAAATGACCCTTTCTCGTTTTCTAATCCGATTCTAACAATGTTTTAACAACCATTCAAAACTATATTTGAATTCTGTATCAAATAGGTTCATAGTTCAATTGAATTTAAATTTCTAAGGGACTCCATAATCATAGTGCAAATTAAGTGAAGAATCACTATACCATAAGAAGCAAAGTCCCAGCCATAATAGTATGACATAACAAAGAACAAAAACAAAAAAATCACTGCCAAAAGAGGCACATCCGCATACTTCCACACACACAAGTTCCACAGAACATCCCTGATAACAGATTAACTATCAAATTTAGCCGACGACAAACTAATAAACATACCCGAAGAACACAATTCCAACTGTTTCTGCAAAACCAAACACCATGTACAAAATACTAGGACGGAGATTTCGATAAATGGACCACTCTCAAAAGTAATCATTCAAGTTCACTAGACTTCATTGTCACTCCAAATTCTAAATTCTACTACATCAACAACTTATTTCGCCCCCAAGATAAGCAACATTTTTCTCGTTTTCTAACCCTATTCTAACAATGTTTTAACTCCTTTCCCTCTAAAACTGTACTTAAATTTTATATCAAACACATTCATAGTTCAATTGAAATAAAATTTTCTAAGCTACTCCATAATCATATTGCAAATTAAGAGAAAAATCATTCTACCGTGACAAGCAAAGTGGCAGCCATAATCTTCTCATTGTTGCTCATTGGCCCCATCTTCTCCAATCTCTCTCGGGCCAATTTGGGCGCATCCGGGCTACTCTTTACAGTAGGTGGATAAATGACATACAACAGCAACGGTACCACAATCAACGACACCAGTCCCGGCACAATCGCCGCCTTAGCCCAGTCCATCCACCCAATCGTCTGATTAATCGTGTTCAACGTCAACTTGGCACTTAACGGATTCGCCGCCATCGCCGTTAAAAACATTGACGACGATATAACCGAAGTTTGGAAACACGTCAGCATCAGCCACGATCCTAGCCTCTTCTCCGTCCCGTCACCGGCGTTACTCCCGCACGCCACGCACAGAGACTTCACTAACGGCAAAAAGATCCCCCCGGCACGTGCAGAAACTGACGGAATCGCTGGAGCTAGGAGCGCCTCGCTGAAGACGAGACTGTAACCTAACCCTAACGACGAGGATCCGAACAAGGAGACGAATTGGTAGGCGATTCGGTTGCCGAGTCCAGTTTTGATGAAGCCGCGGGCGAAGAAGAAGGCGAGCGCGATAAGCCAGGGGATCGGGTCGCCGAAAGCGGAGAACGCGGCGGAAAACGTCAGCGTTTTGGTTAGAACGGAGGCTCCGAGGCCCATGAGAGCCACGGCCCCGAGCGGCAACGGTTGAGTGATGATGCCGACGATTGTGGCGAGAAAAATGGCGAGTAGTTGCCACGCGCTTCGCGAAACTCCGGACGGTACGGGGACGAACCAGAGGATGACGCCTGTAGCTATTGAAGCTAGTAATGGCTTCATTGCGGCTCCCTGCCATGGCTGCGGCGCCGGGGGAGCCGGAGCCGAAGCGGAAGCTGAAGCTGAGGCTTTTACGGTTAGTTTCTTTGAGGAGGTAGGTGATCGAATTGATTTAAGGAGCTGTGGGGATTTGAATGAGAGATTGTTGGTTAGTGTAATGGGGTTTGGAGTTAGAGAATGTGAGCGGGGAGTGAAGTTTGATCTCGGCTGGAGTTTGAGATTGCGAGATTTGAGTGATTGGGGGGATAGAGAGCAAGAAGAGGAAGTGAGGGCCAGAGACGCCATTGTCGCGTGGCTTCACGCTCTCTTTCTTCTTTCTTTTTAGTTGGTTCAGACTTCTGGTGGACCAGTAGCAGAGAGCCGAGAAGATTTATAATTACTAAACATTAGGGAAAATCAATTTTCCCCTGTTGTTTCTATATTTTTCACTTTCCCCCTTTCCTAACTATATTTTTTTGAGAGTGACCAAACCGACCATGACAAGCCAACCTGACACGAACACAAGCGGGTTGAGTTGAGACAAATAATATTTAGGTTGGGTTCTGATTGAAAAACTCAACACGTTTAATCAATGGGTGAGGTATAGGTTGAGAACGAACCGTTTATGACACGATTAATAATTAATAAAAATAATTTTAATAATAAAAAAAAATAACAAAAATAGCAAACTAAATGTGTATTTATGTCAATTAATACTTTAAATGTATCATAAACAGGTTAGTTTTGTTAATTGTTAAAGAGATCAAATGATTAAATGTGTTTTAAACGGGTCAAATTATTGAACGTATTATAAATGGGTTGACACAAATAATAAATAGGTTGGTTTTAGATTAGGACCGTTAAGGCTTTAACATGAATAATTTAAATAAGGAGTAATGTGCAGTTATCGGAGGATGCACACCGAATTCGTGCACCAAATGACGTGACACAATACTGACCGTTGATTTATTATAAATTAATATTAATCAACGGTCAAGATTTTGTCACATCATTCGATGCATAGATTCGATGTGTAATTTTTGATAACTCTATCATTTTTCTTTAAATAAGTCGGGTTCGTATTGATAATTAGTTAAACAATATGGATATGGTACGACAACTAGTTTTGAAACCCTTAAGTATTTTTCCAATGATAGAGGGTTGAAGTGCTAATTTTCAAAATGATAGGGGTGTCATGGTACCTGTTTAAAGAAGGAAAGTAGGGAAGGTGGATGTGGAGCGTTGAATAAGAAATGGATGGCACAGATGGCGTGTGGAATATACGATTGGCTGTTGCTGTTCTGTTTCGCTTTGTTATTGTCGTAATATTTGAAGTTGAAAGGTCCGTCTTAGGTCTTCTGGTTCACCGGCCAGCTTGGGCTTATTCTGTGCACACTGACTAACCTGCACGACCTGGGGAACAATACGCACCCTCCACGTGGCCACTTCCCAACGAACCACCGGCTGAATCACGCTGGCCTTCTCAGTGACATGGATCGAAATTCCACGTGTCTGGTTGTGATTGGGTAAGGTGTCTGTTTTCGATTCTATGAGCTAGAAAGTGGGAGATCTCTGATTCTGAGGCGGGAATTGAGTGAGGAAGAAATGACAGGATTGTCCCTCGGAAGAAATAGTAGCCACAGAAATGCACGTGCAGAGGGAGTGGCGGATCTAGCGAAGTTTGTAGTATAGTTGGAGGTTTATGTGTGCGCCGAAAGTAAAGTGTCGTGTGATGAAAAGGAGAAAATTTGATAGGAGAGAATTCAATAGAATAATATTACATTTACACTACTTTCTTATACCATGTTCATTATATTATGATATGGCATATATCATAATCATACAAATTTTTAATATTATAATAGAATTTATGTGGTTGTGACATATATTACATCATAATGTAATGAAAATTGTATAAAATAGTGATGTAAATGTAACATTACTCGATTCAATAAATTCTACCTCTTTTTAAACACTAAAAGCCGAATTTTTCTCTTCTTTGGGCCACCTATGGTTGAAGAGTTGGCTAGCTACTTTTTTTTTTCTTTTTTCTCTTTTTTTTTCTAATGGATTAAATTTTCACATTTGAAGAAGTTTTATTGATCGTGATGGTTGTTTCATGATAAGTATTAAGTAACATATGAGAAACTGACGAGAATTTTTATATATGATTTTAAAATTTGGAATTGAAGGTCAACTAGATCTAACATTTATGGATATTTTTATAAAAGCTGAGCCGTTATTGGTATTTCAAAATACCAATTGTTTGGATTGTTATGCAATTAAAAGTAATTGTAGTTTTTTTTTTTTTTTTTTTGGAAGCAAATTGCTCCGGTTACTACAATTCAAAGCATGACGATTTCTTATATTAATTTGAAGTTTAATGGTGGCAATTATAAGGGTTGTTACATAATTAAAAGTTGGGCTGTTATGAATGGATTGTCAAGTATAAAAATGGGTGTTTATTCTCTTTCGAGGTACAATCTTTCCACTTAATAGTGATGAAGTGTAAAATAGGAAATACTATTATTCTCATTAAAGACTATCTTCTATATTAGGTTAGGATCAAAACTATTAAGAATTAGATCAGTTATAATAGGAATGTAACAATTTACTTCCTAGATTAGTATTTTGTTTTTGCTATAAATTCATTGTACATTTCATTGTGAAATAAGTAAGTAAAAACAAAGTATTTCTTCACATGGTATCAGAGCTTGGTTTCTGAAATTCAAAAAAAAAAATTCTTCTCTCTTTCTCAGCAATTTTTTTTCCCGACGACTGTTCTCCGGCAACGATCAGGATCTAGTTTAATCACATCAAACTGATCGTCTTCTCATCGTCGTCATAACCCAAGTGGTTTCATCGTCGGCCGTCGATGCACGCGCCCTCATGCACCAATCGTGTTTCCATTAGCCTCTGCTCCGATCTGCTTTTCCGGCAAGCGTGAGCTCTCACCACTACCAGCATCTTGTTCCTCTCCACCTTGCCGACAAAACCCTTCAAGCTTCAAGACACTCTGACCTTCTTCATGGATCCTCTTTCATCAGCCTCTCACTCGCATCCAAGTGGTTTTTCTTTTTTATCTCTCCCTCCAATCACTATTGAGAGATTAACTGGGATTGCTAATTATTCATTCTAGGCTGCCTCTGTCAAATTATGGTGTATGGGTCAAGGTCTGGAGGATCACTTGACCACCAAGGCTGTCGATATTACATCAGATAAGTCTTCCTAGACTAAAATTGATGCTATGTTGTGTAGTATGTTATGGCAAACTATTGATCTCGCCTTCACCCTATTTACAAATCTTATCGCTCTTGTGTTGATATTTGGAGTCAGGCTAAACTTCTCTATACAAATGACATTCAACGTTTATATTATGTTGTGTCCAACTTAGTTCATCTCAAAAAACAAGATATGAATATGTCAGAATTCCTTGGTAAGATGGCCTCCCTTAAGACAAAATTCAATCTAATGTTACCAGATGATAAATCTGCGACAAAAAATTTGGCTCAACGGGACAAGTTCTTTATGGTCTTGACACTTGCAGCTCTAGGTCCAGATCTTACACCTGTTCGAGATCAAATCCTTTTTGGATCTACTGTGCCTTCCTTTGATGAAGTGTTTGCCAGATTACTTCATGTTTCCTCCCCTACTACAGTGCATTCCCCTGGTGACTCTTCGGTTCTTGTTTCTCAGTCCCACACTTTTATTAAAAGAGGACAGGGTGATCGAGGTGGCAGAGGAAATCGACCCAAGTGTAGTTACTGTCATCGGTGGGGGCATACCGGAGAGAAATGTTTTAAGTTACATGGTCGACTTACCTGGGCTGCTAATATTGCTCAGGCTGATCACTCTAATCTTCATTCTGAGTCCTCTACAGTGCAGGTTCAGCCTTCTTTAACTTTCACAGGTACCGATTATGATGAATACTTACAGTATCAGGCCAATAGGCAGTCTTTTTCATCCATTGCCTCCATCGCTCAAATTCAGTTGCCTGCCTTACTTAGTCTTCCACTCTAGGACTTTGGGTCCTGGATTCAGGTGCCTCGGATCATATTTTTGGTAACCCTCGTTTACTTACTCAAATTATAAATACTACATCTATACCCCTTGTTACTTTAGCTAATGGGTCTAAAGCCGATGTTTAAGCTATTGGTTGTGCAAAACCCCTCCCCTCCTTAGAATTAGACTCTGTGCTTTATATTCCCAACTGTCCCTTTAATCTCGTGTTTTTCAGTAAACTTACACGCTTTTTAAATTGCTATATTCGTTTTGATACTGACTTTGTTGTTATACAGGACCGTGACATGGGACGGATGATTGGCACAGGGTCTTTATCATCTCCATATCCTATCTACAGCATGCATTGTCTTCGAGTCTCCGGATCTCCTTCACAATCGTTTGGGCCATCCTAGTCTTTCCAAACTTCAGAAAATGAGCTCAAGTCTATCTAAATTATCGTCCTTGAGTTGTGAGTCCTGTTAGCTTGGAAAGCATACTCATAGTTCTTTTCCAAAACGTGTTAACAAACAGGCTGCGTCCCCCTGTGAGTTAGTGCATTCAGATGTGTGGGGTCCTTGTCGTGTTACCTCTAATTTGGGATTTAAATATTTTGTTACCTTTATTGATGACTATTCCCATTGCACTTGGTTATTTCTTATGCGATCTCGTTCTGAATTATTTTCCATATTTTCATCGTTTTGTGCCGAAATTAAGACTCAATATAATACTACCATTCGTATATTACGGAGTGATAATGCTCGTGAATATTTCTCTGATTCCTTTACTAAATTCATTTCATCTCAGGGAATTTTTCATCAGTTTTCTTGTGCTTATAGTCCCCAACAGAATGGCATTGCTGAGCATAAAAATAGACACCTCATTGAAACTTCTCTCACTCTTCTTTTACATAGCCACGTCCCTTTCTGTTTTTGGGTTGACGTTGTTCTGACCGCTTGTTACTTAATAAATCGCATGCCTTCTTCTGTCTTCCGAGACCAGGTCCCACACTCCATATTATTCCCTGATCATCCATTATTTTCTCTTCCCCCATGTGTCTTTGGGAGCACTTGTTTTGTTCACGTTTTCTCTCCTGGTTAGGATAAACTATCAGCCCAGTCTACTAAGTGTATTTTCTTAGGGTATTCACGTCTTCAGAAGGGCTACAAGTGTTATTCTCCCGCCACACATCACTATTTCATCTCTGTTGATGTTACGTTCTTTGAGTCTTCTCCATTTTTTCCTCATCCTACATTAGAGTTTGATCCGATAGGAGATGTTCTGCCAATTCCATACATTGCTTTCCC